CTCGGCTGGCATTGTTTTGTCTGTCGCCGCAACGACGCAATTGGGAAAGCTGAGCTTTTTTGCCGGCATTGTTGATGTTGTTGTTGTTGTTGCTTGACCAGCTGAGCTGTTGCCGCTATGCGTGCGAATTGCGCAGCAAAAATGCCGGTTGACTTTTGGTATTAAATCAACCAAAAAGAAAATAAATACTTGTAAAGTATTTGTTGTCTCGCTACTTTGCTTTGCTTTGCTGAGTTGCTGTAACTGTAAATGAAATATGTGCATTTTCAGTGCTGCCCGCTGCAGTCAAATGTAGATAATTAGCGAGGGCGAAAAGGCTACAAAATATTTTTTTTTTTTTTTTTTCACGGTAATGCTAGTTATTGGAAACAAGAAAATCGTACATGTACGTTTTTATTATAAGTGATAAACATCAATTTTATATTTATGTTTCCATATGTTTAGCTGGTTTTATCTTTTTCTTAAAATTATCTTGTTTTACTACCCAATACTCTGGCAACTCAGCGCTTTGTTTATTGTGCGACAATCAGCTGTTGCTGATTCATTGAATTCGCTACAGTTAAACTGTTTACTCAATGCTGCAGGCGTATAAACGGAACGGAACTAACATAGAGATGAGATATGGAATTTATAGACCGCCGCCTTTCCCATTTGGCACTGTTAATGACTGTGTTTTTTTTTTTGTATTTTGTTGCTTTTTTCAATGGCCATTGATAAAAAAAAATTGCAAACTAGCACCGTTACAGCGCTAGCTAGCAGCACACACAGTCATTAAATCCGGCGAGACGGCATTCCATGTAATCAACAGCGACAGCAACAACGAAAAAACTAGCCGAAAGCTCAGCTTGAAAGCCTGCAATTGACGCCAACAACAACAACAACGGCGACGATCTTTAAGCGTCGCCAGACTACGACGACGCGACGGCGACAGCGCTGCCAACGACCGACCGACATTTTTGCACTCATACACACACACACGCACACAACTGCACTTGTCTGCTGTCTGTCTGTAAGTAAATGCAGCTGCTCTGCAAGTGTATGTGTGTATATGTAAAGAAACCCACAAAGTAATTGATCCATTGCACTTATGCTTTGCTAGGCCGCCTGTTACTGTTGTTGTTGTTGCTGTTGTTGGCTTGCAGCTTTCTCTGTGCACTCTTTGCTTTCCGCTATTACATTCTTGCTTGCGAAAGTGCCGCATTCGCTGCTCTCGAAAAGTTATAGCTCAGTAGTTGTTACTGTTATTGTAGTTGCTGTTCTTGCTGTGTCTTTTGTCAATCGTTTTACCAACACCACCCACCATTAACCATTAGCGATTACTCGCAGCTAAGCATACACTTGCAATTTTACAGCTACCCAGGCCACTCGAGTATCCATTAAGTATTTGCAGTGAAAACTCCACTAATGGACAGATTCAAATGCCGCAAACCTGCTCTGACACCCAAATACACCTTTTAAGTACTTGGATAATAAAAACTTGTGATAATCATATAATAATAATAATAATTAAATCTATTTTAATTTCAGTTTTTTTTTTCATAATGTGAACAAGGGTCACATTTAATTTACTTGCTCTTGATTTTAATTAACACCCAGAACGGACCATAAAATAATTTCAAATTACCAACGAAACTGCATTAATTGCATTTTGTGGTCAAAGATAATGCAGCACGCACACACACACCCACACCCACACCCACACACACAAATGGAGTGGGGATGCCCAAGGTGTTCGAGTCACTGTCTAGAAAGAGACAGCAAGCGTTTTTACTACGAGCTGCAGCAAGTGAATGTACAGTTACAATGCGCCATATACTACGCACGTTACGGCACATACATACATACATAGCTGACATAACGCTGCTTATGTACTACGGCTGCATATCGATATACATAGTATGTATATATGGGTGTTGGTCGCATCCCGGACAGCTGGGCTGCGCCTGCAACAATTCCGCGCCAAAGCGAAAGGTTGCACGATGCCAATGGCCTAGTGCACTGTTTACACCCACCCATCCAACCGACTGCCGCCCACATGCCACGCCTTTTCAGCTGCAGACAAGTGAACAGAAGAAATTTTCCTGCTACGCCGGCCCAGGCCAAAAACAGCAACAGAGCAGACAAACGCGTGGCGCAGAATGCGCAGCTGCGGCAATCAAAAAGCTGAACGCCCAATTCCTGGCCAAAGGAGTTCAAGACAGACAGAGACAGAGAGAGCGCGAAGGCATCTTCCAATTACCCACCACACTGACGTTTGCTGCTCTTCCCGCCTGTCACTTTCCAGTCACAAATAATCGTCATCGGCAAACAGCTGCCTACCAGGCGCCAGGCTGGCGCCGCGCCACTGTTTCATTTCGGCAACGAAATGGCAGTGAAACAAGCCAAGTTCCCCTCTCTGCACTCACCCTCTCTATTCCCTAACACCACCCACTCTGCCCTGTGAGCATGTGCGAACGTTGCTCTCAGCTGTGCTTGTGGTGTGAGAGGAAATCGCACAAGGATAACGGGACCTGTACTGTGGCCCTCACACAATGTTTTGGTTTGAGTCTGTGCGCCGACTACAGTGATGCATGGCTTAAGCGAAAGTTGCATAAATATATATTGGACTAAACATACAATAAGATAAATCAAATTTAATTTATAAAAGTCAACTCTTTATATTTATTTACTTTTAACATAACTAATTGAAACCCATTTTCAGTCATTCGAAAAATTCACTCTACTCAATCTTTACTGTGCTGCCTTTATCAGCCACTGCTGTTATTCCCTTTTCTGCTCCTTTGCTTCGCGTTTGGGAACTGCTGCCAACTTTGGGGGTTGCTGTCGTGCTTTTGGCGCGTACTGGAAAGCCAAAGCCAAAGCGAAGCTGGATCGATATTTTAGGAGCTACTACGTAAATCGTAGCGTATCGGCATCAAAAACATTCCAGTTATGCGTCTTTTCTATCACACTTGCAGGGGGAAGATGATAAGGAGGGGCTGAGGCGAAGCTCAATTCGCTCCAGCACTTTAATGTAGGTTAGTTCAGCTGCAAAGCGGGCAAAATTGTAGACTGTACGCAATTGCGCTGCACTTTGCACTTTGGCGCCACCTAGCGAGCAGCTAGCAAGTTCAATGACCCGCCTCAACGAGTAAATCACAGACTACTTGGCATAGTCGCCCACTCGCGCGTCTGCATTTGCACATAACTGCTATGCATGTGTGTGTGTGTACATAGAGCTGTTATATTAGTGTGTGTGTGTGTGTGTGTGTGTGTGTGTGACTGTGTGTAGGCATAACTGTGTGTGTGTCAATGGCACAGCGGCTGTCGCTACTTTCTGCAGTGTTGCAATTTTTTCTCGCACTTTTGTGTCAACTGAAAGCTCTGCATGCATGTGCCTGCCTGTCTGTCTGTCTGTGTGAGTGTATTTGTGTGCGTGAGCTGCATTCGTCGTGCGACCTGGTTCCGATTCCGATTGTCGTCGTCGTCGTCGACAGTTTGTTTTCGGTTTAGGCCTAGTCTCAGCCTCAGCGTGACCAGCAGCCAATGCCCAACCCCTCTCTGCGCCTACCTTTCAAGCGTCAAGCTCCAAGTTGGTCAAGCAAAAGTGCACAGCTATGGCCATCTCTTTCACACACAAAACTACTACATACTACAATGTTTACTATGTGTGATAATGCAGCAGCAGCAGCAGAGAGCAAAAAAATCCATAAACTACTTGCAGCTGGGACATACGCTAAGCCGCCCACCCAGTCGCTTGCCCACTCTCTCTCTCACGCTCCCTCTCTTTCTATCGCATGTCATGACTGTTATACGCCCATTATGTCATTCATCAAGGCACGACGCTGACGCCAACGGCGACGTCGACGCGTAGCTGCTTTAACCCTTTTTTTTGCGCGTGTCGTAAAGCAATGTTTTTTTCTTCTCCTTTTTATTTACGCGTTTTTCTTCCTGTTTACATTATTATATGTATGTATGTAGCCACCACGTCCTGCTCGCACTTAACTCTTTAACCCAATAAGCTGTCATGTTGTTGTTTATGCTACGTGCTTTTTAGGACTTTGCGCTGCACTTGTGATTTATGTTGCTCACTTTTGTTTGACATTTTTCAATTTGCAATAAATAATAAGCAGCACAATAGAGCCACACACAGTTACAAAAAAAGGAGTGTATTACAGTGTTGCGAAATACGGCTATTTGGAAAGAGAATGTTGTCTAGCGCAGCAGACACATAAATTAAAACTTAAAGAAAGTATGCACATCAAATAAATCTTTTAGTATTTAATATGACAGCTGCTGATTTACAGCCGTCTGCTGCTTAGCCAAGACACACACCCCACACTTGCCAACACACACACACACACTCGCTCAAGATGTCGCCGCAGTTGCCACAACAAATCGATGCTTGTCTCAAGGTGAGAAAATATACATGCATACATATGTACATACGACACAAATGCGTGGGTATGCAAAAAAAAAAAAAATAAATAAATAAAATAAAATAAATAAAAGAGAAGCGCAGCCTAAACAACAACAAAGGGCGACGCCAAAAAAATAAAACGTTGCCATATCAACTAGACTGCAAAAGGGACCTTCATGTTTCAAGTGCTGCGCTGCGCTGCTGACGTCGCTGCTGGCGTGCCTACAAAAGCACAACGTATGAGGTTTTTGGAAAGTTACAGCAAATTGAGTGCAGCGTGAGAAGGAGAGAGTGAGTGAGAGAGGATAGGGCAGAGGCGTGTGCATTTGTGTGAGGCAATTTGTCAACATGCGATAAGGCAAGTGCCGTTGTTGCTACTCCTGTGGTAATGTAAACGAAACGAAACGAAACGAAACTTGAGCGAAGTGTTGAAGCGTAAATGGATAACAGAACAATAAACCAATACAAGTGCACATACACACACATACATAGACTCAAATGTAATCCAATTAGTGCAGCTCACACTTGTTGTTGTAGGTAGCTCCTCTTATATTTTGTTTTGGTTTTGGTTTTGTTTTTGGTTTCGGTTTGGCTAACTTACCTTGCTCAACTTTTCGCCCTCGTGTCGCGGCAGCAGCGAACGTAAACTCTGAAAACCGGCATTGATGCTCTGCATGCGTCTTCGCTCATTGCTGTTGGCTATTTCCCGCCGTATTCGTTTCTCGGTATCCAATATGGGTTTACCGCTGGGCGAACTGCCCCCATCGCCACCTCCGCCGTCTTTTGTGGTATTCGATGCGCTCATATTCGATTGGCGTCGCTGCGAGCTGGTGGTAACCTGATGCGCCGGCTCGGTGGTGTATTCAATGTGATAGGTATTCTCCCCGCCTGAATCTTCCAATTGTAATCTACACAGAAGGATAAAACAAAGTTGCATAAATCGTAGTAAATTTAATAAACAGCAAAAAATAAAATAAAATACACCCTTTCATTAAAATGTACCAAAAATGCATATCTTTGGTATTTATTAAATATGTGTGTTAAAACAAAAATAATACAAACGTACATACATATGTATATACACAATGAATATTCATAATACAAAACCAATTAACTTGCGCACACACATATTCACCCACACACAAATTCATTCGTTCATTCATAAATTTACAGTTCCATTCAATTCAGTTTTAGTTTAGCCACACACACACACACACACATGCATAGAGAATGCGCAGCGAGAAAAAATGTACAAATACAAAAACAATCAAGCAACAGCATAAAAAGCAACATGTCAGCCGAGAGCGTCAGTTGATGAGCGTGGGAGAGAGAGAGAGACAAAGAGAGAGTTTTTAACAGCTGTCAAATATGACTTTTTGACTGTTGTTGTTATTGTGGCTCTTGGATTAAAGCCGCTGTCGCTGTGGCTGTTGCAGCCGTTGCTGCACATAATAGCATAAGAATTTCAAGACCGGTTTATCACACACACACACACACACACTAGCTCCTAAATTCTTTAGCTGTGTGTCTGTGTCTAATAAAATGTATTTATACAAAGGCATCAGCAGGCCACAAAAACATATGAGCGTGCTTGAGCGAGACCTCGATGGAAATGAAGAGAGAGAGAGCGGGCGAGAGCTCATTGTTTGTGTATTTGTAAAGTTGCAGCACTGCATTCCAGCAGCAAGACAACAAACGACAGCAGCAGCAGCAGTCGCAGCAGAACGTCGAAGACAACAGCGATAGAAAATCTTAGACATCGTCGTCTGGTTACATTGGTTTATTTTTAGCAACATGCCATTACCATCCATAACAAAGGTCGTTCGCTGCAGCATATTTTCTGCGGACTAAATACCCTGTTAGAGCTAGCGTCAAGCTAATTGGGTATGATGAGCCTATATATTCAGTTGGTCAAATGTATTTATAGAAATAAATAAAACATATTTTGAATAAGTTTACTTCTTGAAATTACAAGAAGATTTAATATTGGTATTTGAAATTATAATGAAAATAAATCATTGAAGAATTAATGTTTGTAAATTTTAACTTTACAATGTGATGTACGTAAAGTTCAATTATGGAAAATTTAAAATTTTAAGTTCAATTTAAAGAAATAAATAAAACTAATTTAAATAAGTTTTATTATATATTATAGGGTATTACGTATGCTTATCGTCTTTTATATTAGCAAAATTATCCACTACGACTACTACACATAGAGCATTTTACCGCCTGTATGCTCTGTTTTTCATGCATTCTTTCATCAGTACTTGCCAAACTTGGTTAAGCGGATGTTGCTGCACTTGCTGCTGTTGCTTTTGTATTTGTTGTTGCTGCCGTGGAATTTCTGTTTGCAAACAGCAAAAAGCCACAAAAGCAGCAGCGGCGGCGGTTGCTGCATACATCAAATGCTGAATGAAGCTGCGTCAAGTGCAAACTATTTGAGGCATGCGTTGACAAGCTTATTCGCATACATACATAACTTATACTCATATATGAATATGTATATCTATGTGCACTAATATATGCGTGCATTATGCCATTACAGTTTGGGTCGTGCAGACACGCAAACAACAGCTGTTGCGCCTCATTTACATACGCCGCAGCAGCAGCGGTAGCTAAAAATAGCGATCATGTTAATTTAACAGCGGCAGAAATAAGTGTGAATTCGCTGGGTGTGAAAAGTTTACATAGTGCGCATTTAACAGCTGCAGCTGCAGCATGGCATGGCATGGCCGGTGGCCAGTGTTGATAGCTGCAAAATTTAGCCGTTTTTATTTTTTAGTGGGAAATAAAAAGAAATCAAAGTAAAATTTCTCTATATATAAACAGATCACAATAAAACAAACCAAAAACGATTCTTTGTTTATAAACACAGCGAATACGTAAGTAAATATTATTTCTGAAGTTATTATTAAGTAAGATATTAGCTATGTTTACGTTTCTATATGGTGCAATCTAGCTTTCTTTTTAACTTCAACGGGCTCCTCTGCTGCCAGTTCGGGCAAGCACTGATCGATCATATAAAAACACATGTTTAAGCAATATTTTAGAAAGCTGTGCGCACTTATTCGTATTTTCTTTCCTTTTTTTGTTGACATTTGAATTATAAATTGCAATTTACGCATATTTTGTATTTCAGTCGCAGCAGCAGCACCAAAAGCCGCATTACCAATAACAACAATATGAAGAAGAACACATGATATACAACAGCTGCTGCTGCCCGGGGGCCGACTCTCTGCTGCTGCCCCAAAGTTCAATGTAGTTCATTGGCCACTTTTCGCCAACCGTACACACATACACATATGCATGCATGCATGCATTTATATGTACCTCTATACATACACACATATGCAGCTAAACAAAACAGACAAAGCCGAAGTCACGAGTGCCGCCGAGTTGTTGTTGTTATTGTTACTGCTGCACTGCACATAAATCGCATGCATATATCTATATATACATATATATATGTGTGTGTATGTACGTATATATGTACGCTTCTGTACGCTTATTGGGTCAACGCTTACGTCATCGTTTTTGCCTGGAATTTGTCGGCTGCAAAATGTTTTGCCGATTGCAGGTGAAACACAATCAACTTTTAATTCATAAACATTAACTTTGTATTATATAATGAACTGATTAAAATTCAGCTTTACTTGACTTATAAACGTTTCACACTCGATTGGTAAATGTTGTTCAGTTAATGTTATAAAACAAACAAATAATATATAAATATTAACCCAATGTTAACTAAATTAATTGGATTATTTATCTTCTATATATTCTCTTTCTATAACTATAATCAGTCCTTTATGTTTTTGGTTCTTTCTAAATCCCGATTGTGTTCGCATTGATTTTTCTCTGTATCATTTCATCCAATCCAATTGTTTATGACCTAAATTAACAGTTTGCTTAACGTTTATTCCCCTTTTATAGGGTCACACTTTTATGAGCGTCTTGAAACGCAGTAAAAAGGGCATACCAAGCATCTGTTGCACTAAAAACCAAACATTATTTTATGCCCAGTCACGTACCAATACACGCGCATATGCACACACAGGAACCCATAAAGCTTACTAAATTCTAAAAACTTAGTGGATGAGGCTGAAGCAGTAGCAGCAATTGGCAAAATGCGCAGCAAAACGCAATAAACTTTGCCACTTGCGTAATGTGCAGCAGGCAACAAAGTAACATAAACAAATGAAAAAAGTTTAGAATGGAGTCCCCCACACCCCACATTCGCCTCATCTTGTTCTCTCTCTCTCTATGCTTGTCTCTTTTCGTCGGCCTTTTGGCGCCACAATTGCAATAAAAAATATAAACAGAGAACGCAGACTGCAAAAGCGCCGCTGCAATTTGACAAACGGCGCAAGAGGGTGAAACATAACAGTTACATAAGCTCATACAGACACATAAGTACTCGCATGAGGTAATTCGAGATGAATATATGCCAGGTGCAAGGTGTGAGAAGGAGAGGTAGAGGCCAAATGATGTGTTTGCATGTTGACAAAAACAACAGCTGTTGAGCGAATTAACAGTAAAGCAAAGCGTGGCCGCATACGTATTTACGTACAGCCACAGCTGATGGTTGCGATAATCTTTAATAAAATTTGCAAGTCAAACTAAGCATACACAGAAGAGCAAAAAAAAAAAAACAAAAAAAAACAATCATGTGTTTTTCATCAACAATTCGAGCAAACGAACTACTGTCGCTTCTTTTTTCAATCAGTTCAGCGTTTTCTCTCACCCTCTCCATTTCGCTCTGGCTCGCTCACATGCACCCACTCTCACTCTCAGGCAGACGACGACGACGACGTAAACGAGGCGCAGGTTGCCCATAAAAAAAATGCCGCTTGCAAAAACGCAATGGCAATTGAAACAGCAGCAGGGCGAAACGCTTGACATATGAAACAGCCAGCCATCGCCCAAAATTTGCGCAGCAGCTTTTATCTTTGCGCTCGTATATTTATGTGTTTGTATGTATGAATATTGTTTTCTTATTGGTATTTTTTTTTTGTTTTTTTGCAAATTCGCAATACTTTGCAGTCGTGTCAGTTGCGTCGGCGTCGGCGTCGACATCAACAGCGGCAGCGGCATTTTGTGTATACGTTTTTTCAATGAAATGCTTATAGTAGTAGTAAAATGCGCAGCGCTGTGTGGCGGCATCTGTACTTTTGCTGAAATTCCCCTTTATTCAATGCACTCACAGCCGCACACACACACATATGAGTGTAAATAGACGCCCACTCTCACTCTCTCGTTCTTTTACGCGCAGCGACTTATTGTAAAGGAGCAACAAGCTTTTGAGTGCAAGTCAAACCTCACTCACTGACTCGCTCACTCCCAAGCAGGGGCTTATGTACTTCAGCCAGTAGCAAAAAGACTGCAGACAGAGGCACACACATACACACAAAGGCTTGAGCGAATTTACAAGCGCCGCCACAGTCGCGGCGACTTCCAGCGTGTGGGGAAAAACGGAAATGACGCCACACTCACACATATACATTTGCAATGTGAGAGCACATGCAACGTGCGATTGGAGACTTTTAGCGAATTCACTCGCCCGGCAGATGTTGTTGCAGACTCGATTTCGAACTGTATTTGCTTTAGGTATAAAATTCTTAGTATTTACTGTTATCCAATATGAAAATGCAATTAATATAAATAGAGAAATCAAAATAAACCTGTCAGCTGTTTTGTCAGAATTTCGCTCAGCTTACATTGTTGATACACATTTAGCCACATGCAGTTATACAATCCAAACATATGGGTAAATGCCAGCCTGCGCCTTATTGATAAGCTCAACGCACAGGCCACACGCACACCAAGGGAAAACCCTGAAGCACACACAGCTGCCAGTGGGTGTAAAGGCGGTAGAGAGAGAGAGAGAGAGGCAGTAGGCGAGAGCGAAAGATTAGCCGATTGGTTTCTTTTACGTCAGACTCTCTCCCTCACTCTACATGTGTGCGTGTGTGTGAACATATGCTGGGCTGCTCTTAGGCATAAAGAGGCCACTGATAAGACGACAAAAACCATATGATTTTGATAAAAAATAAGCCCAATAAATCTTAAATGAGCCGGCGCAACTTTCGTTGCAAACTTAAATTAACAAAAATAACAATAAAATAGAAAAAACTGTACATTTTAACGCTCTACAGTTCACACTCACACACACTCATGCATTTCAACATTCTCTTTCTTTCATCATTCACTGCTCATTTGTTGCTATTGTGTGTGTGTGTGCTGGTTGTTCAGGTAGCCGCTGTCGCAGTCGCAGTCGCCGCTGTCCATATGATTATAGAAATATACCGGTACAGCTGATTTGGCCGCAACTAACATAGCTGTTGATTAGACAGCGTGTCACGATAAGCAACGGCAGCTGTTTAGCAGTGGCAGCAGCTGAGGGAGCGAGAGAGATAGAGAGAGCAATAGCGGATCGCAATTTTAACAAAGCCCACAAAGCCCCTTTACACTGAAGTTGCGTTCAATATTTTGGCCCTCAGTGTAGTGTGCTGGAATAGATGCGAGAAAACAGCCGTTTTTCAAATATGGCGAGTATAAAGCGTAAAAACACAACACACGAACAACAGCAGGCGAGCAAAAAAAGTAGCGTCACCTTTTCCAGCGAGACGCTGGCAACATGAAACGACCAGAATAACCAGGAATACATGGAACTGGAATGGAATGCTCGTTCAAAACGAACGCCATACGTTTTCCATGTGTGTGTGTGTGGCAGTGCATTGGTGGTGGTGTTTTTATGCCGCGTTTGTTTTGTGCGGCAAAACAGGCGGCAAAATGACGACGTCTGCCGCGTGCAAGCGCAAGCGAGAAGGCACGAGCGAAATAATCAATAATTTGCGTGATAAAAAGAGGAGAATCAAAAGTGCAAGAGCAGTTTGTTTATTTCATGAACGATGCCAAAGTAAACAATTCATAACTGTAATGTGATATGCGTATAGATCAGATTTTATTTTATTCTCATTGCTCTCTCTTCTTTCCCTCGTATGTTTCTTGTCTTCACTTACTGTAATTCTTCATCCAATTCCTCGGCGCTGTTGTATTCGGCGTTTTCCAAAATGACTTCCTCCGTTTTGATGGCCAGCGGTACCGAAGACATCTTTTATGTTCTGTGTGTATATATATGAATATATGTTTTTGGAACTGTAGTTGCTAGAGCAGGACACACACGTGCTTCACTTTGATTCTTTTTCTTATTTATTTTTCTTTTACTCGTATTCGATTTGATTTTGTTTGTTGCAGTTCTGCCTCTTCGCCTTTTGTTTTTCACCTGGCCTGCTCGCACATGCATATGCACATATATACGCGCAATCGATCGTTGACTTTTTTCTTCTGTATATGTGTGTGTCGTCGACTTCGACGTCGTCGTCGTCAGCTGGTCTTCTATCTGCTGCCTTCAGCTGCTTTTTGTATTTAGCGGCAAATTGTTAGGCAGTCAGACACAGCATACACACAAACACTAATAAGCAGAGACAGCGCGCACTCACACTCGTACGCACATGTAAGTCGTACTCTCTCTCACTCACACTCGTGCACAATTCAAAACAGCAGGCGGCGCGCCGTAAAAAATTTTGCGCGACGTTGTCGGCGTTGTTGATGTTGATGCACTAGAGCACTAGAAGTTTTCACAAAAATATTTTGCTGCTGTTTTTGCAATTTTTATTTTGCAACACCATTTGGTATATACACATACACACTCATATACACCGACAGATTGATATATATATATATAGGCAAAATGGTTGCACTGTACGTAGACCGCGTTTTTCGAAAAAAGCGTCCGCGACGCACGTCCGTTCGGTTCAAATATTCAACGCTAAATAACAGCTGTTAACATGTGGCAATGTGACCGAATTTTATTTGCTAAAATATACCGATCATCCCAACGCGTAAGACTGCAAGCTTAAGGGTTGAAATTTGAGCAATGTTTTATTGAACAATTAACACATCACTTATGCTTTGAAATAAGCTAGTTGTGTTAAATGCTATTAATTTAACTTAACATATCTAACAATGTATATACTAATTGGTCTTAATTTTGAAAGTGAACAGTTAACTGCGTGACCATTTTGTTTAAAATCGTAACGCTTAAATACTGTCACGCGGCGAATATGTTGCTGTAAAGTAACATTTCTCTTAAGCTGTTAAGTTAACAGAAAAGAGACGCAGTATTTTGTATGAAATTTAAATTAAGAAATTGATGCTGATGTACAGTTTGTATGTAAATTTAAAGTGAAAGCTCAATTTCGGTTTAGTTCTTTACAATTTCAATTGCAATTGAATCTATATTTTAACAGTCCATTAGTAAAAATTTAAATTGAAAATCAAGTGTGACCAAGCTGAAATAATTAATATGAAATTAGTATTTGTTAACATTTTTGGGGCTCTTCGAAAATTGGTTAACATAAAGAGAGAGCCATTTGCTGTCAAAGCAAATTTGTTCTCGCGAGAGCGCTCTGTCAGTGCTGTAAAATGTTCTGCTAAAATTAGTATGCAGTTGGCTATTTTTGAGTATTTATTTAGTTTTCACACAGCCAGCCGGTGGGGCAGTGTATCGCTGCACTCCTTGAGAAACGCTTTAATTGAATTAAAAACCTTACGAAAATGTCTGGAACGTCCAATCAATGGGAAGTCGTGTCTAAATCGCGCAAACAAAAGAATTTAGAGAAGAAAGTTACCGCTCACACGGAGCAAAAGCGAATTGCCGCCCAACTGCCGAAGCTGGAAGAGCTTTGTAAGCCGCTTTAATTATCTTTAGTCCAAACATCAAATACATATTTCAATTCGTACTGCTTATCTACAGTGCCAACACAGCAATATCGCAATTTATTCGCCAATAACAATATAAACAGCAGCAATACAAATAACAAATCCGATTCACCAGCTAAATCCACATCGAGCGCTGCATCGGCTTCCTCCAAAAGCAAATCGCCACGCAAAACAAATGCAAATGCGGCGAAATCAAGTGCAACGGATGTGGCGAAAAAGCCGCCGAAACAGGCGGCAAAGGCGAGAACCTTAGAGCAGGCAATGAAGCAAATAACGCCTGACGATTTCGCCGCACAGTTGGAACAGGTGAAAATCAGCTGTCCGGGCTCGCAGCTGCGATGGCTGAGCAATGTAAGCAAATAATTGATAAGAACTGAATACGTGTTGACCGCCATTGCACGGCTATATGTATACTAATTGTACAACTTTTATCATTTCATTTTTATTTATCTATTTTTATATATTTTTTTGTTGTGTTGTAAGAGCTGTTAGCGGGCTTTGCGCGATTTTTATTTCACTGCCAATTATGACATTTCTCTCCATGTCTTCTCAGATTTCCAGCTATTTGAATAGCTGCCTCGCATTTGATTGCGATCCTACGTTTTCCGGCCGCAGTGCCCAATATCCTAGCAATTTAGCCAGCGCTGCCTTAAAGCAATCCATACTGGACTTTCTACGCAGTGTGGGCGAAACGAATCTGGAGTATTTCTTCTACTCGCTGCTGGACAGCATGGCCACAGAACTGAACAGTGGCCAGAATGTCGTTGGCTATAAGTTCGTGTTGCAGTTGATTGGACAGAATTGGCCAGCTATTTGCTCGCATAATATGGCTAAGACGGCGGTACTGCGTAACTCTTACCAAAATCGAAGCAATATCTGTTTGAGCATCCTGTGGGCTATTGGCCAAGGGGGTCATCAGAATCTGACAGAGGGCGTTAAGGTGTGGCAGAATCTGATGCTGCCCAATCTGGAGCTGAAGAGCTTCTCTAAATTTGTCGTGGAGCATATTGAGCGTGTTCTGAATGCAGCTGCAGCTCGCAAAGCCGAAACGTTGCTGATTAATCAACAGGAGTTTTTCGACTGCTACAATGCACTGAATGCGAATTACATTAACTTTAGCAGGGAGCAACAGGCGAGTCTCAAACGAAGCGCCAAACAACTGTTGGTAAGTAACGATAACGATAGGCAGAACGATACGTGCGGAGTTTCATAGCCTTTGAAATTGATCAATTAAATCCGCAAATATTTTGATAATTAGTATTATGGAAATTGCGAGTGGTGTTCACAAAAGTACAAACATTTAATTTAAAAAATTATTTCTAGCATATCTGCATTTTTTAAAAGTAACGATAATGTTTATTTCGGGCAGCCCTGGCTACACTTGCACGTTTTCAATTGAAGTTTGCATTTAAAATTAAGCTATAATAATTCTTTTTATTAAATTATTTAATTTATTATTTTGAACTCGCAGCAACTGTACATTGCCAGCCCAGTGAAGCAGGCGAACATATTCCTCACACTTTTACGCCTGATAAATTCACTCAATCAGCGCACAGAAATCGAGGGCTGCATTAGTTGTCTACTGAGCAGTGGAGCGGATGATTGTTTTAAAGTGTGGCGCATGAATTACAAAAGACAGCAAATTCCCAGTTGTATTTTATTAATGGCTATAGGTAATGTTTCGTTAATTTACACAAATAAATTAATGTTATTTATTAATATATTTAATTTGACAGTTAACGATTGGGAGGGTCCCGCCAAGGCTCTGGCTCTGTCACCTGCGTTTCTTTCTTTTCTACAGAATATCAAATATTTAAATATGGAGCTGCAATCAAGCAAACGCAAAGATATATGCGTTGACGATTTAGAAGAAGTTGTAAAGGTAAGTTAGGTTATTGAAATTATTATGTGAATTGGAAGCTATCAACTTGTGCTCCACATTGTAACGTGCTAAACGTTAGCTGGTCACACTGTTCGGCGGGCTCAGCTGTTCGATTTGTGTGCTCGCTGTGGGCTGTGAATGGTCAGACGCCATTGTGTACACGTTGCGCGCTGATTGTCAGTTTATTGCAAGTGGCTGCACAACAAAAAAAAGTATTTTTCGTCTGTCTAGTTCTGCCATAGAAATTGAAAAAGAACGGAAAAACAAACTTTTCCAATTGGAATATTGCAATTAGTGTTCAATGTAATTTGCGCCAATACGATTGTTAAATATCGGACGAAAACAAAAGGAGAAAATCTAAACGACGTAGACGTTAACGTCGACGTCGCGGCTGCTGATACTCTTTAAGTCGTATTTGCCGGGCGCACACTTAATTTCTCTTTTTTAAAGTGCGTTTAATTATGTGTGCGCGTGTGTGTATGTGTGCGTGCGCGTTCGAATGCGTGTGTGCACTTTTTCAATATTTTTCAGTCATGGCGTTGCCATGCGGCGCAACTACTTTTCTTACCGTTGTTTAATTGTGTGTGCGTATATGTATGCGTGTGTGACCGCTCACAACGCTTATCGCACGCAGCCGCTTTTTATGATGATCTAGCGTCACTTTTTCTATATGGATGATGTGTTATAGCTGCGATTGGCTGTTACCCTCACCACAATCTCCCCTCCACCGTTGCAGCACACCCTTGTTGCTTGCTTGCGCAGCAGCAGCAGTGGCGCTGAATTTTATTTTCGGCTTGAGATAAGAAATACTCAGGCGATGCTCTGACCGTTGTCCATTGACCACGTCACTAATGCCAGCGCATAGGCCAAAGGAGAGGAAGAAGAAGAAACAGAGGCAGACACAGGCCAACCGCTAACAAGTTTTTTCTTTTTGATTGTCTGGCCATTTTCTTGCACGTGGCTGCGGCTGATTTTCTCTTTTGATTTTCAACCTGCTGCGTTGTCAATTTTCCATGTGCGAATTCGCCTGTGTTAATATATGTATGTAGATATAACAATTTTTTATTTTTTGACACCTTTTCATTGCTACAGAAACTTGCGGATTGTACAGTTCATTCAACTTGTTTGATTATCAACAGTTGTTGTTGCTTTACATGGTGTGTGTGTATGTAAATACATGCATATGTATGCGATTACCGCTATCGCTCTTTTATTGTATTTTAAAACAATATCAAAGCTGTTAGCTCTCTCTATCTCGCAAGTGCTCGTGCGCTCTCACAGTTGTTGATGCTCTCAGCATTTTTCTCTCTTTTCTTACGCTCTTCTTGCTGCTCAGCTGATGACGCGTCATCAGATTTTTGTGGTGCGCCCTTGTGACGTATGCAGCTGCTGCTGCCGCTGTCGGCGTTCTAGCCGGGCGAGTGCCTCTGCTACTGCGATTCTGTTATTCTTTGCGTTTGACGCTTTATCTTGCGCGCCTTTTGCCTAGCCCGCATTCGCGTTTGTGTTAAGCTGCGCGCTGTTTGCTACGTGCAAATTGTTTGTGCACTTTTGTTGTTGTTGTTTTTATTTTTTTTTCAATTGCGACTCTCACTGACCGCTGAACTTGTCTACTGCTTAATCGTCTCTCTTGTTCTTTAATTGCGACTCGATGACAGACTTAAAGCTTTCGCAAGCTCAATAGCAAAAACAAAACAAGTAAGAAAGCTCTAGTCGAGACTGCTCGACTACGAGATCCCCT